GAGTGATATCAAAATAACTAAAAGATAAGCCTTTCTCCCAGTCCATTTAGCTTTCTGATCACACCTGCTTCCTGACTCCACACTAGCCACACTAGCTCCAGGGGATTCCTTGAAGACGTCAAGCACAGTCCCATCTTAGGGATGTTCTTCCCCCACATGGCCAAGTGGCTCTTCCCTCACCCTCCTTCAGGTCTTGATTCAAACGTCACTTTCTTAATTAGGCCTCCTGTACCTCCCTATTTAACACCAAAACCTGCCCTTCCTCCTGGCATCCTTCACTCTGTTCTACCTTTCTCTATAGTGTTTATCATCTTCCAACCAACTATATAATTTTAAAAAGTGGGACCTCATTTAGTCACTGATATGTCAAAAGAGCCAGACACAACAGGTGCTGAATAAATATTTATTGAATATATGAATATACTAATGACATATCGAAGAACAGAGTCAATAATATGATCTCTAACAATTATACCTACCCACTTAAAAAAAACTGGACAATTTTCTGCACATGCATAATCAAGCAAAATATATGGAATATAAGTTCTTAAAAGAAAATTCGGCCATCTTTATCATTCCTATGTGTTTGTTTCAGTTTGTGTTTACCAAAACTCATAGCTGACTTATTGAAAAGTATCCCAGCTTTATTTTGTTAACATTGTGCAATACAGATGATACAACCAGGGAAGCAAATTAAACAGTTTAAAAAATAGGTCTGGCCTGGGCCCGGTAGCTCAGTTGCTTAGAACGTCATCCCAATATGCCAAAGTTATGGGTTCAAGCCCCAGTCAGGGCACATACAAGAATCAACCAATGAATGCATAAACAAGTGGAACAACAATGAAATGTCTCTCTTCAAATCAATCAATAAGTAAAAAAATAATAAAAGTTAGGAATGAGTTAACAAAAAACTTTTACTCTCAATACTACAGAATACTGTTGAAAGAAATGAAATTAGCATTAACTAAATAGAAAAAATATGTAATAGGCCAAATATGTTGAAATGCCATACACAAAATCCAGTACAACTCTGTATTACTAAGCAACAACAGCTTTTTAAATGACATGTGCTTTGTTATTTCATACATTGGAACAGCTCAAAGCCAAATTCTGATATAATTTTTGCAAGGTGATAGCCCTCAAACTTTCGATTTCAATAGGAATATCTTCAGTTTGCAAATGGTCATTGCTCCAGTAAGACATCATTTTGGGAATGGGGAAGCATATCAAATATCAAAAGCCTGGCCTATTTTCTCAACCAAAAACTGCCAAGAACTGCCTAATATCTGAAATGGGACCCAATCAGAACTTAATTCCCTGTGATTTTGTAAATAACAGACTATCCCTACTTATTGTTAAAGCAGTTTTCTATAAACTTACAATTCTGTACCCCAGGGTTTGAAGCCTAAACCTGGTGACAGGGTCTCTACAACTCCAACATAAGACAGGTCTCACAGAATGCGAGGGAAAAGCTCCCCAGACGTTGTGTCGCCAATACCTCTGAGTGACGGTCTACACTTCCCGTGTCTGATCCAGAGTGCTGCTCATTTACATCCTCCTCAACGTCTGACCCTGAGTCCCGTTCATCCTGCACTGGGGTAGCGCCACCATCATCTGCTTAAAAATAAAACAAAACCACTTCAGGTGTGAGATGGACGACATCTACTGGTGTAATGAACACGAATCAAGAATAACATACGAGGAAAGGTGACCACTGATGAAGCATAACTAATGATGCTAATGTTGTAAACAAGACAACAGTATCACACTCAGAAATAACAACAATCATCCCATGGACTGTGACAGAAAAAAATACACCATAAAAAGAATGTGAAGCTTAAGAAACATAACTAAGGACCAAGTCAACAACCTCTAAGTAACAGTGTGCTCTGTAACTATTTCAACTTCCTTGATCACTGAGTCTATTGTGATCACAGCACTTACTTACCACCTCCTAATGGGCTGCAGGATTTGTCATGTCATGCGTTTAACGTGGCTCTTCCCTCACTTGAATGCAAGCGCCACCACAGCAGGGATGTGGGTTCCCTGGGGAGTGCTGGCGCCCTGCACTGCCTGGTGCCAGGCATGTGCTTAGGATGAAGAGCTCACGGAACTGCAGTTCCAGTTCCGAAGCAGGGGATCTCCTTAAAGAAACATGTACTATGCGATCACAAAATGGTGTCAATGAGCTGCTACCTCCCTTTAACCAATGCTTTAAAAACATAAATTAAAAGTGTATGGAGAGGACTTTAGGGCTGTTGCAGGATATGAGAAGACTTGGTTGGAAGTTTAGTAAAAATAAAAATGAATCTTTTTAAATGAAGCAGTCACCTACAGGAAAACAAAAAAGTTGCATAAGAGTGGAATCACTATCATATAAAAAGCTACTCAGCCAAAGAGTAAAGAATATGTCGTCATAATAAAACCGGTAACTTGGAAATTTAACACTGAACAGTGAGGGCAGGGGGAGAAGAGGGCGCTCAGGATGCAGCCCTGTCCTCCCGCAAGAGGAGGCCACACAAACGCCTACAAATGGAGCAACGGGAGAGCGGGAACCGGGAGACCAACGCCAAAAAAAGGATGTAAGGCTAGGGAACTGCGATTCTGCATGCCTTTCAGCGCTTCATCTCTATACAGGTATTACATACAACTGCTTACCTAAGCAACAGTGTGAAACCACAAATGAGCTGAAAAACTATTTTGAAAACATTTACAGAAAAGCAGCAGTGCATGCTTAGCAAAGCGTTTGTCGTCTTAACTATTCTCCCAACTCAGAACAGGAAGGCGGTTCGGTCAGGCCGGGAATTACTGAAGCGCTGGGACAGGGGACAGCCCACGGGACGGGCACAAAGGCCCAGCCCACGTCGCGTTTCCCCCCAGGTCCGGCGCCCCGGCCGGCACCGCGGGGAGGACCCCGGAGAAGATGCGGGAAACGGGACTCCCAGACACTCAGACCAGGGCCTCGGCTTCCCGGCCTGGAGCCCAGGGCTGCGGGGA